AACAAAACGACAGCAACTTGTCTGTTCCCCTTCCCCTGATTCCCCAGCGCTGTTCCCCTCCCCAACTCCCCAATAGAAAAAAAAAAAAAAAAAAAACTGTGATAAAACTGGTCAACCAAACTGCTGGAGGCAGTATAAATCAATACAACCTTTCAGAAATAAATCTGGCAATATTTTTCAAAAGTTACAAAAACTTTCATATTGTTTAACCTTGTAATCCCTCTCCTGGGACTTTAGCCTAAAGGAAAGAAGCAACATGAACAACAGCTATATATTAACTGCATTACTTGCAAAATGGGAAGCAACTTAGATGTCCAATTATTAAAATAAGCAACTCAACTTGTAATAGTCTATAATTTAAATGTACAAAAACTACAGCAAAAAACATTAACTATGAAAGCAAATATTAAACATTACATTTATGCTTTGATTATAGTATAAAATCATGTATATTTAGTGAAAAATAAATGAAGATAAATTAAAAGTTTATTTTGGTTTTTCTTTCTTACTTTTTTGACCATTAAGTTGTCTGTAAAATAAAAAGCCTGTTGGAATTAATCAGGCCCACCATAGTAAGTACACATCTTAAAATTGACTTTTCAGAGGCATAAAACCACAATCATCAATGTTTTTCCCAAAAAACCTATCACATAGAGTAGTAATCAGATAGGCTCTTCTCACATACAAACTAGCTAAACATGTAATTTTAGCCATGCTATTAGCCAGCTGTAACCTTCTTATATTAAAATCTCATTTTACCATCAAAATGTAACTGTATGTGGGATCTCCATATGGTGAGCAGAAGCCACTTGTTATAGGGCATTTGGAGAAAGGGCCCCAGGCACTGATGTTAAAAACTATCTGACCAAATGGAATGATGAAGCTTAGGTTTCTCTATATCCCCAGATGAATTATCATGTTTCTCAGCTACTCAAGGGCTCTAAGCCCCTAGGAGTGGCAGCTAAGCAGTAAAGGAGGGAGAAAGCACAAGCCAATCTGCTCTCCCTGTGAAAATTGGCAATGTCCTCATTTTCCCCCATGGAGCAATGAAAAACACAAGCATGAGGTCAGGAGATGTGGGATACAGGTAACTATCACTAAGTAACCTCAAGCAAGTTATTTGCCCTTTTGGGCTTTAGATACGTAAAATTTTAAAAGCTAAACCAAATAATCTATTAATTCTTTCAAGTTCAATATTCTATTAATTTAATAGCCCTCCTTTACCAATACATGCCCAAGTCTCTCAAAACCCCCCACTAAGATTGTAAAACGATTATTAAGACTTAGAATTCGGAAAGTGGGGGCAAAGGTAAAATACACGGATAGTCAAAAGACCTGGATTGTGTGCCAGCTCTGTCCCTTTCTACCTGCATGACCTTAGGCAAATTACTTTACCTCAAATTCCTAAGATCAAAGCAGCAGCAACTCTTATTGGCCATTCCCCTTCATTCTAACGTTGAAACATACTGCTTTCTTCTGTCATAACAGGTTTTGCTCCTAAACAGCAATAAAAAATTTTACTTCATTCTTGGAATTTTAAAGTATCTTGTTTGTGCAGTCATCTTTCCTAAGTTTTCTAATATTGAAAGAGGTAGTTACACATTTTGCCTGTCTTAAAGCTATATTCAAGATAAGAGAGTTCCTTGAAAATGTATTCAATAGTTTTCGAGCACCTGTGCCACAACAGTATGTGCCAGAGTTGCAAAGGTCCCTCCCCTCAAGAAGCCCAAGTCTTGTGGAGACAGAAATACAAACAAATCATTAACCACCAACTGACAAATGCTAGCTGCATAACATATAATGTACTACTTACTGCATTAGTCAAGAGAAGCAGGTTAAATGTCTGGACAAGATTCAGAGGTGATATTTTGGTTAGGTCTTGAAGGACAAGTTGTTTACTAGGTAGAGAAGAATTCTCAACAGAAGGTACAGTGTAAAACCACAAAGATGTCATCTTCAGAGACCTCTAAGTAGTCTTTGAATGGAAAGGGAAGGCAAATGGTAGATGAAATTAGAAACGTACACAAGTACCAGAAATTGTGAAGGCCTTGAACTTTTTTATCAAATACAGATTATAAAGGGTCTCTGGCAGACTTTTAAACATGGAATCCAAGTCCCCTTCTTCCACCATACAGTCAAAGGAATTGAGTCAAGGCAATAAACAAAAAATGCAGGACTGGATGTAGAAAAGTAGAATAAATTGTGTTTTGTTTTTTAAATGGAAGGTTCACGCTCTTAGGATGGCTTCTAGCAGTTTCTTACTATGGCGTATTAATACAACACTGAAGTAAAACAGTATGAATTACAGCTAAAAGATTAAAGAAAGTGTGTCTTTTTTATTTCTTAACCTAAAGATTATTTGAAATCAATATTGTTGGAAACACTAACGAAAACCACCATATAAGAAAATACTAAAGAGCTATAATAAATTAAGAGAGGCAAACAGTAGTAACATCTGAGAAGAAGACTGACTTCAGGCAAAACATTCAGAAATGTTTAAATCATTATCATATATTAATTTCAGAAAGATATGTTTTGCGCATACCTTTTACAAGAGGAGAGTATTTTAAATTCCTTTTGGTTAAAGAAGAGCTCCCACCAATAAACTCTTTAAACTAGTGTAGACTAGATTAAAAAAAAAAAGTGGCAAAATGCCATTATATTTTAATGCTCAGGAAAAGAAGGAAAAAACGAATGTATTTTCAAATGGCTATTTTGAGACGCCTAAAACTCAATTTATCTCACCAGTGGGAGGAAACAGCCACATGCCAATCTGGGTCCACTAAGAGTCCCTGCACCAGTAATTTCCACACTGGTAAGGCCTAGTCTTGGAACAGCAAGCCTAATTGGCTGGGTAGCCTACAAAGATGAATTTGCAATTATTGAAATTCAAAGTCAAGTTTAGCCACCAACCATTACCTCAAAGGAGTCATCCCTCCTTTTACTTTGACCAAAAATAAATTTTAAAAAAGGTGCATAAAAAATACATATAATGTACTATATAAAAAATAGCAGATGTCCAAAAAGGAGAAAGGGGCACCTGAACCTGTGGAAACGGTGTGGTCCACCAAAGTTTCATCTGAGGATGTGTTTTTGGGTGTGTCTTTGTTTTGGCCTAGTAATTAAAAAAAAAAAAAAAAGCAGTCATTGGGGCACCAGGTAGGTACTTTCGCTTATCAATCCTCACAGCATCCTGACTCTGAAATCACTGGGCATATCAGCCTTGTCCAGATTTCTCTGGAGAAAGGCGGCGACCCAGCGGCTGACGCCCCCGGCGCGCCTGTCACAGCCCTTGGGGCTGGGGGCAAGGGGCATCCGGCCTCCTGGCTTCACGCCCGTCTCACCTCGGGCGGCTCGCGGGGGACTCGAGAGAATCACCAGAGGGCAGGAGGCCAAAGGGGGCCACTGCCTCATCCCGGCTCCAGAGCTTGAGCCCCAGGGCCGCGCCCCCTGCCCAGAGCAGTCGCAGACGCTCGCCCCGCCCCGACCCCGGCTCTTACCCTGCGAAGGTTGCGCTGACTCCACAGATGCGGTCCGACTGCGGCTCGCCCAGCGACCTACGGGCCCAAGGACCACTGGTGAAGCAAGGAACCGTCGGTCATATCCCCGGCGGCCTTGCCGCCAGACCCGCAGCTGCCAGCATCTCGTCCGCTGCCTGAGGTAGCACTGGAGCCCAGGGCCGCCGCACCCCCTCCCTCGGCCGGCGCCCGCCTGGACTCCGCCCTCCAGGGAACCAAGCACCGCGCACGCGCAGTCCGGCCCCGAGACGCCTCTGCGCAGGCGCAAGCTTCTCTGGGCTTCACTCCGCCTTCCGATCCGCCCCCGCTGCTTGACTCTGGCCTCAGCCCACGCCTGGCCCCGCCCCAGCGCTCTTGCCAGCCGTTTCAAGGCTCCGCCTCCACTTCGGGACCCGCCCCCCTTCCCTGACCTTGCTTTTCTGCCCCCTGACTCAGGTCTTTGCTCCGCCCAGGCGGTAACATCAATCCTGCGGCTCATCGGCCTCATTCCAGCCAGCCATGTGGACTAACATATGCTGCTTGACTTGGGTCAAACATGTCAACTCCACCTCCTGATCCAGAAAATTTAGAAGTTGTTTGAGCTTTGGAACTGACATGTGCTCCCCTGCCATCTTTTTTGTGTGTGTGTGGACACTTTCAACATTCTGTTTTTGCAAATCCATTCCTGTTCCCCGCCTTCCAGTTCTCTGGGGTATGCCTGAACCATACACCCCGCCTACCATGCAAAAATAGGAGATCTTGCTGAGCCTGAGGAAAGGAAGGAGCACTTCCAAGCAGAGATTTGCAGCAACTCCATGGTGCTATCTATCTGGGTTCCTTTTGCCAAGAACCAGGCCCTCTTTGGGACGCCTATCACTCACAGGATATCTCCCCCTCCTTTCTTCCTTGATGGCTGAGCCTACCTTGAATACCCTTACTATGGAGGCCTCCAGAGCCTAACTGAGTTTAAGTTAAAGTCCTGGAGCTACCTTTATCTAGTGGTAGACTAGCTACTTTCTAAAATCCTTGGGGCCCACATATAAATAAAGTCATATGGTTCTCGACTTTTTCTGTCTCACTTATTTTGCTTAGCATAATAAACTCAAGATCCAGCCGTGTTGTCGCAAATAGCAGTATTTCACCGTTTCTTATGGCAGGGTAGTATTCCATTGTGTATATATACCAGATCTTCTTTATCTAATCATCTATGGAAGGGTACTTTGGTTGTTTCCATGTCTTGGCCACTGTAAATAATGCTGCAATGAACATTGGAGTATATTATCTTTACAGATAAATGCTTTCAGATTTGAGGGGTATATACTTAGGAGAGGGATTGCTGGGTTATGCGGTATTTCTATTCTTAATTTTTTGAGGAACCTTCACACTGCCTTTCATAGCAGCTGTACCAATCTTCATTCCCACCAACAGTGTATGAGGGTTCCTTTTTCTCCACAGCCTCTCCAACACTTATTGTCTTCTTGATGATAGCCGTTCTAACAAGTGTGAGGTGATATCTCATTGTAGTTTTGATTTGTATTTCCCTAATAGCTAGTGAAATTGAACACTTTTTCATACATGAAAAACGCTTGCATGTCTTGGGGGGAGTTTCTGTTCATGTCCTCTGCCCTTTTTTTTTTTTTTTAAGATTTTATTGCGGAATTGGGGGAGGGGAACAGCGTTGGGGAATCGGGGAAGGAGAATAGACAAGTTGCTGTCCTTTTGTTCTTCAGTATAGTTGTGGAGGACATCACTTCACTGGCCCATGTTGGTATTATTGCACTCTTCCCGGGTGAGGCAGATCAGTTGCTGGCCACTGAATGGCCACTCACGGCAGCTCTTGGCAGCTCACGCTGGCTGCCAGCCACTCACAGTAGCTTACGGGAGCCCACTGCAGCTCCACTGCAGCCTACACCATCACCGGCGACTTATGGCAGCCCAGCTCCAAGTCGAGCTGTTGTTCACCATCTTAGCTATAGAGGGTGCAGCATCACTGGCCCTAATGTGGGATCCAAACCAGGGCCCTGCTTCAGAGTTGGTGGTCCCAAGCCAACTCTTAACCAACGCGCCACTCGGCCGGCCCCTCTGCCCATTTTTTAATGGGATATAAAACTGAAAGCAACAAAGGAGCAAGACGAACAAATAAAGAAACAAAAACTCATAAACACAGACAAAAGTTTAGTGGTTACCAGAGGGTAAGGGGGGAGGAGGGATAGTAGAAGAGGGTAAAGGGGGTCAAATATATAGTGATAGAAGGAGAACTGACTGGCTGGTAAGCACACAATGTGTTATATAGATGATTTATTATGGAATTGTACACTTGAAACCTATGTAGTTTGGTTGACCATTGTCATCCTAATAAATGTTAATAAAAAAATAAATAAAATAAAATCCTTGGGTCAACACTTAATCAACACCTTGACTGCAATAAATAACATTTAAGGAAGATTTCATTAATAATATCCACTTCTCCCATATCTCCAGATCAGTGATACTCCAAGGGGAAAGGAAGTGTGACTTACCAGACTGAGAAGAAGAGGTATGCCTGATTTGTGGAACCACATTTCATTTAATAATATACTTTTACATTTGAAAAGTTAAGTGTTATTTTAATATCAACTCCTAGAAATAAGGTTTAATTTCTCATATGATAAGATGCATGTTTAAAATGTTGAGAAAAACTAGATCTAAACACTCTACAATTTACTTTTGGTTTAACCCAAATCATTAGAAAGGCAAACACCAGACTGAACTCTTGAACACACTCCTCAAGAACATCCCTCAAGAGATGCGGTTACCAATATAGGCTTTGGAGTTTACGCCATCAGCTAAATTGAGAGATGGTACAAGAAGAAACAGCTCCCCATAGCTTGTCTATGAGAATTGAGGAAGATGCTACACACTCAACAGTCTCCATATGAGGATTTAGGAAAGGAACATCTCTCAATTCCTATTACCTGAAAGAACTATGCTTCTCCAAACTGCTAGGTTGTAATCTTGTGACTCCAGGATCACTGGAGGTGGTCATGTTTTCTCTTTTCTTTGGCAGATCTTAAGTACTAAGTCACTTTCCTTTCATCCTCTACAAAGGTTACTAGGTGCTTGCTGTGTGGGAATAGTTTCCAACTTCATCTAATTTTTCTTACTGCTATTTTGTCTTTGTCCCAATTTCCTGATTTCCTTGGTTGTAATCATATCACATTATTTCTATCAGCCACATCAAATTATATATAGAAAAGAATTTATTATATATAACAGGGGTGCCAAAAATTGTATACGTATGACTTGTATTCATCTTTCGTTATCAGTATACATTGAGTATTACAATTTTAATAGTTTCTTCCTTTCTTAAAATGTGTATACACTTTTTTTGGCACTCTGTGTGTGTGTGTGTGTGTGTGTGTGTGTGTGTGTGTGTATATATATAGTGACAAAAATGTATACACATTTTAAGAAAGGAAGAAACTATTAAAATTGTAATACTCAATGTATACTGATAACGAAAGACGAATACAAGTCACATTTGAGTTTTACAATTACAAGAGTTGCTCAAAGTGGTTACCATCAGCATCCAGACACTTCTGATTATGGCAAAACCCTTACTATTTGAGCAACATTGACCAAAGTGTCCACTTATATACATGTTTTGGAACCCCCAGATATATCCTTAGAAGCCTGACCTCTTAAGGGTCTGAAGCCTGCTTATAACTGAGGTTAAGGGTAAGAGTGTAGACCAAGCTGAATAGTGGTTCACAAATTTTAGCATGCATCAGAATCTCCTGGGGGGCTTAGTAAAACACAAATTGTTGGGTGCCACCCCCAGAGTTTCTGATTCAGCAGGCCTGGGGTGGCGCCCACGAGTTTCTATTTCTAATAAGTTTCCAGGGGAACAATTCCCCAGGAACCAAACCTTGAAAACCACTGCACTGAAGTACCTCTTCAAAGATCCATGTTGCAATCATCCTAATCAATTAGGTAGGAGATGAACATCTCTCAGGAACCCTTGACAGACTGAGGAAAGACAATGCTTTAAGTGTCACCTACTATCCTGTGGACAAATATAAAAAATGTGGCAACTTTCAACACAAGTCTAGGCAAAAGAGATAAAGCTGAGAAGGTCAGAGCATGATCCCAGCCCCATGAGCTGCGGGAGTAGTACAGAAGATGAAGAGTTAGAGGCAGATGGTATGAAATTCTGCGGTGGGAATGTCTGTGGTTTGCCAAATCCTCCTTGTGTTTTTTGGATGGACCCAGTAGTATCAGGACACAGAGACAAGGAGTCAGGTGATCTTGCAGGATTCAGAATGTGTAGGCAATGAAGCTTCTGATTTACAGATGTCTGTATGGAGTCTAGAGAAGAGTTAGCAAGCATATCTACACATTTTTACTATGCATTTTTTGATTAGATAAAAAAGTATCTATGGTATCAACATAGTAGAAAAAACAAGGAAAAGATTTTTCTCATAATTCCCATACAAACATACTTAATGCAATCGCAAAAGCATTTCAGCATATTTTTCTAATTTTATAGACATTCCTAACATGTTTTATTAATTTGGAGTTAATACTCCTGGGAAGTTTTTGTACATATGTATATATATATATATATATATACACATATATCTTAAATAATACAAATTTATTATATTGGGAAAGGTGCTCAACATCACTAATCATCAGGGAAATGCAAATCCAAACCACAGTGAGATATCACCTCACACCTGTTAGAATGGCTGTTGTCTAAAAGAGAAGAGATAACAAATGATGGCAAGGATGTGGATAAAAGAGAACCCTTGTGCACTCCTGAGGGGAATGTAAATTGGTACAGCCACTATGGAAAATAGTATGGAGGTTCCTCAAAAATTAAAAACAGGACTACCATATGACCCAGCAATCTACTTTTGGTTATATATCCAAAGGAAATGAAATGGTTATCTTGGAAAGGTATCTGTGCCCAATGTTAATTGTAGCATTATTGACAATAGCCAAGACATGGCTAAGTGTCTACTGACAGATGAATGGATGAAGAAGATGTAGTACATATATACAATGGAATATTACTCAGCCATATCAAAGAAGGAAATCCTGCCATTTGTGACAATATGGATGGATCTTGAGGACATTATACAAAGTGAAATAAGTCATACAGAGAAAGACAAATTTAAGTGACATTATCTCACTTATTTATGCGGAATGTAAAAACAGCCAAATTTGTGGAAACAAAGAATGGAATGATGGTTGTC